CAGTTCTGTTCACTCTTGTCAGTATGAAAGTATTCACAATGCATTTTACCTCTGCAGTGATGGATTGTGATTAGGGATGTTCATTTTAACCGGTTAACCATTAACCGACCGTGAAGAATTTTGACCGATTAATACAATCAGTTAAACAGTTTAAAAAGTCTTTTTTTTTTTTTTAGTAATTGATCAAAATATTTAAAAAGGTTGCTGCATGGTTGAAATACGCTACGCGTATAAAAAATGTGTTTTTTAGAATAGCAATATAAACGACAAGCCAAAACGAATTCATTCAGGCTAAAACGAAACTGAAACCAACTGTCTCTCATTCGACACGAAATCAAATGTTTCCGTATTTTCGCGATGTATTTGAATGCCAAAATATTATTTATGTACTTCACTCGCGTTCCAATATCCACGTAAAACAAAATGGTTTGCATAACATCATTCACGGCGGTACGGTGATAACGCTTAACGGCACAGATTTTACTACATGCTGTATTAGATCAAATGGGTGCTTCTACTAAATACTGAGCATTTTTCAGTTTTTCTTTTTTAATAAATTTGCAAAAATGTCAACAATTCTGTGTGTTTCTGTCAATATGGGGTGCTGTGTGTACATTAATGAGGAAAAAAAATTAACTTAAATGATTTTAGCAAATGGCTGCAATATAACAAAGAGTGAAAAATTTAAGGGGGTCTGAATACTTTCCGTACCCACTGTATATATATATATATCGTATTTTCCAGAAAATTGCATTGTTGACAGAACAAAACACAAAAATGTTGCATCGGTTGCATTGCATTTTCTTACTACATTAAGAATAATGTTAATAAAGTTTACAAAAAATATAAAACATTTGCAAACATTCTAAATGCTATCAAACATGTTTATTAGTTCCCCTCACTCCTCAACAAATCCTTTACATTTAGCAATGTTCAGAACAGAACATGAATCAAGAATATAAGAATATAACTATAAATATATTTTGTATTGTATTATTTTATTTATACGTATTATACTTTCAACCTTTGAAATGTGAAGCATGCAGTATTGTTGTTCGCTATTATAGTCTACGTATTGCATGATATGTATTATATTACAAAGTAATGCAAAAACAAATTTTTTTTTTTTGTATCTGCAGCTTTCGTCAACTCTCCGAATCAAAGTGCCCAAGCCCAGCTCGTACCACGAAGCCAAACAAGCAGCGGTGGAGTACCATACGGCCAAGCAAACGCTCATCAAGGCCTTTCACAAAGCGGGTCTGGGTGCCTGGGTGAAAAAACCCATAGAACAGGACCAGTTCTCGCTGAACTCTTGAAAAGGGAACATAAAAAGACCAGGACATGACAACAACCAGCTGTTAATACTTCACTTGATGTGTTGGGATGTGTGTGTGTGTGATGCTGTTTGTTTTTAGACAAACCAAGAGCCCTTTAGTGTCTGTCATTTTGCTCTCTTTGTGTGAATCATGACTCTGCCTTTTTAATTTGTAATGTAGAATCGGATTTTCATCTAACATATGTTTGTTTTGAAGTTAGCGGCATTAGCCTTCAGCAGATAACAGGACGTGATGTCATTTGTAACTGGAAAAATTGTGTTTTTTTTGAGAGAGAGAGGGTTGTTCTGAAAAAACCTCGATGCCGTAAACGTGCACGTTACTTGGCTTCAGGTCGACCACACCGCTGTGCACGGGTCTGAAGGTTTCCTGGTCCAGCCTACCCAAATGCTGGCTCACCTTTTGAGCATGGTTCTCCTTGATATGCAAAACATAAGCATATTTATATTTTTTATTCCATTCCCTCTGGATTTTAGAAGGGGAAGAAATTCTATCACATAGATCATAACTATACAGCATGGTCCCTTTAGATAGACAAACTTATTTTGTCAGGACTTTAGTGTAGAATTAGCGTACGCCGTCTTTCTAGTAAAATAGATTTCAGATTTTAATTTGACCTCGGAGGGAAACTTGAATTTTTGCATATGGTTCCTACGTAAGCTGTATTCCCAAACAGTGATTTGAATTGGAAAATGGAGTAGTCTTATGGATGCAACCAAAGTGCATTGATGTTATTAAACGATGTGTCGTGGCTGTTGAGATTTCTCAGAGGTCTTAAATGCATGTGCGAATTACATAAGGCACAAAGAAAGCCCTTTATTCTGGGTTTAATACTTTACTGGCCTATAATGGACCATTTTAGAAGCCCTACTTTTAGGTGTCTACACTGTATTGACTTTAAGCTGCATGGAGTCCATCGGATCACTCCGATCACCAAACAGCAGATTTCCCAGTGAACCTGATCTGCTAATGTGATCGAGTTACACATATGTTAAAGGAATAGTTCATCCAATTATGAAAATTCGCTTCGCATAGGGAAAAGACCAAACCTGGAATCATGATCCATTTGAAACGACATGTAGGTGAGTCTATTTCTGGATGAGCTCTTCCTTCAACATTCATGCTGCATTTAGTCACTGCAGGTTTGAGAGCAGGGCATTGTGGGAGTTTTTCAAGATGGCAGAATGGTCTGTAAAATGCACGTTTATTATTGACAAAAGCCATCTCTGCATGCGGAAGCGAGGGTTTGCAGAGGCGACTCTGACTTTCACTTTATCCTTGCGACTTGTTTGAGGATTTTTTTTATTTCCTGCATAGACCTGAATGCCTACATTCCTCCTCAGAGATGCTTCTGTAAGACTGAATTCAGCTGTGTCCTTGAGGATGAGGTTTCCCCTCTGCAGACTTGTGCTGTAGTAAGGTCTGAGCCAGGAGCTCAGTTGCTCTTTGATTTATGACTTATCCAGTGCAGCATGTTTGACTGGTAAGGTTATTGAGAGCTGAGAAGCAGAAGTATTTCTATACCGATCATTCATTTTTAAAGTTTGGCTTTGGTGGTTTTCAGATTCCAGGAGTGTTGCTGTATAATATAAACTCCTGATGGGATTTATAACATTTCAGTCATAATTTTACACTTAAAAACGAAAGATACAAGGCTGCATTAGTATTTAAAGGAGTAGTTGACCCAGAAATGAAAATTCTGTGATTCCCTCAGACCTTTATGCTGTAAGTCGAGCTCAAAAACGACAAAACATCACCGTAAAACCAGCATAACATTACTCTGTATGACTTGAGCATTATATGTTAGATCTTGGGAAACTTTTTATCAGAGAAATTGACTGAAATATATAAGGAATTTTGCACTAGAATCACAGTGTTGAATATGCAGTACAGTTTTGCTCAAAGTTTTGGGCTGTGAATCAAAAAAATGGAACAATTGTGAAATATTATTACAATTTAAAATAACTGATATCCATTTTCATATATTTTAAAATGTAATGTATTCCTGTGATGTCGAAGCTGAATTTTCAGCATCATTACTCCAGTCTTCAGTGACACATGATACTTTAGAAATCCTTCTGATTTGGTGCTACTGCTAATAAAACATTTCTTAGAATGATCAATGTGGACAACATGCAGGTCAACATTTATTTGAAATAGAAATCTTTTTTAACAATGTAAATGTCTTTAATGTCACTTTTGAGCGATTCGGTGCATACTTGATGAATGAATGTACTCATTTATTTTTAAAAAAATTTGACTCACCCCAAACTTTTGACATCTGAGAGCTGCAGCAGAAGGAAAGATTTATGATCAATAAAGTCTTGAATATCGAATATTGACTACTTTAAATGTTATTTAGTGGGTTAATGGTCCTTTCGGGGGTTTTGCACCAAGGTGACCAATGAACAGCTGCATTAAGATTGTTAAAAAGCATGGGCGCCGATAGCCTCGTGGGCAACGCGTCCCAAGTTCGAATCCAGGCTCAAGGACCTTTCCCAATCCCACTTCACTTCCTGTCAGATCTAAACTGTCCTATCATAATAAAGGCAACAGCGCCAAAAATAAATCTTACAAGAAAAGATTGCTCATACATAAATACAGATTTGGAATGGTGATTTTAGAAAGGTCAACTATTTCTTTAAATCTTCAAATGGTTCAAAATAATGATGGTCACAGAGCCCGAGACTTCCATGAAATCAGACCTCCTTCATCCTCACCACGGTCGTTCTATTTTCCCCTCAATGGCATCAGGTTTCTCCAGCGGGATTGTCGTTGATTTTAAACATTTTAAAGAAACCAGCAGTATGCGTGTTTGTCCGTTCATTCGTTCGAATGTGTTCGTTTGTGCACCTGCTGCTGAGCCCAGTTGGCATTCTGCAGAGACATCATGGCAACAAGACTGAGAGATTGCTGTGGAATCTTCACCAAAGATGTCAATTTCTTTTCCTTTTGAAGCATTTAAACCAACGGAGACTATTTTTTAAAAAGACAAGAAGGTTATTGGTGCAAAGATTGTTCAGCATTTTACAGTTCTGCCTTGTTTGAGTTTTGTTCGTTCACTCACTAATGTATTTTTGTTTTTAATGTGTGCGTTTGAGTTGGATCAGTCAGGACTGACTTTGGGACGCGCTCTTCACTATTCTCAGTATTCTGGTACATGGTGGATGCACTGCTGTAAATATATTGTGACCCTCTCCGATGCCGTTACAGTAGACTCCTTGCATATGTATTACTAATTTTATTTTTTCACTCAAAAAGCAACATGTATTTTGGTTTTAAGGTCTTTACTCTAAATGCCAGGGCGGCCGTGTCCTTGCAGAGTTCCGTAATGTATTTCTGACGGACCTGAATGAGCGTATGGGGATCTGCAGTACTGTAATGATTAATGGCTGTAGATTTTGACTCCCTTTTGCTCTAATGGAAACGATTACAGACTGAAATTAATGAGCACAGTCGGTTCTACATAAATGTGGCTCAGCAAAAAGTAGCTCTTTCTGCTGGTGACACTTTTCAAGGACGGGAGACTTTTGGGATTTTTTCTTGGGGGGGAAAAAAAGCTTTTCTTTTGCATCATCCTAATTTCGTCTTCACCTTCTCTTCGGCTGTCGTCTTCTGTTACGGGGATTTTGATGGCGTGAGACGCCAGTTGATGATGTCACGATTTTTTTCCCGTTTATGATTTTTTTCCTTTTGGAAATCTAAGCCGTGTCTTAGCGAGGAGTCCTGACTTTCGTCCTCCTGGTCCTGGTCATCCGTTTCTAAACGTCTTGTGATTTGGTGACTGTACAGTGGAGTCCGGCGGTGGTCCAGCTCGGTCTCAACATGATCTCGGTCCACCCCGTCTTTTGCCTGTCCTTCGTAATATCCACATGGGTCACCTGCATGAGCTACTTCACCGAAGCTGCACCCAGCATGACGACATAAAGACTTGTATGTAGAAAAAGGAACAAAAAATAGATCTATATATACATAAGCAAAACACAAAAAAAAGAGAAAGGAATAAAAAAAGATCTTAGTCTACCTTTGCATATTGGTGTCGTTTTCTTTTCTCCTTACTTTCTGATTTATTCAAAGTGTGTGTACTTCACAGAAAACTAGCTGAATTGTTATATAATATATAATATCTCTGTAATATATATTATATCTCTGTGGCTCTGTTCCAAAACCTAGTGAGCTGCCTTGCTGTCATGGGAGACTCGACTCAACATTGATTTCAGTGGAGTTTGGCTTGTTTTTAAGCTAACAACTTGATAATCTAAGCATTAAAATATGTCACATTATGTAAACTAGTCAATTTTTAATTAGGTTGAACTAGAATGAGTCCTTTAATGCATTTATAAATTGATTCTAAAACGGGTTCTTTTTGAAGTTTGAAGGCAGCATAAGTTGGAGGCCCACTACAAACAGTGCGTGTTTACTGATTAAATCTTTTAATTCAACAAGGGCCCATTAAGCTGATCAAAATTGAGAGTATTTTTTTTTTAATCTGTTTCATATAATTGCTGTTCTTTTGAACTTTATACTCATCAAATAATCTTGGGGCGGGGGCTATTTATCATGGTTTCCACAAAAATATTAAGCAGCACAATTCTTTTCAACATTGATAAGGCAAGGCAAGGAATTGTTAGAAAAGTTTACAAATAATTACAAAGAAATTGCAAGTAACACACTGAATTAAATGTAAAACGATTCGGTCACAATTAAAATTACACTCGGTCACAAAAGGCTTATATGATTGGTCTTTAAATGATTTCTAGGAAAGTAGAAAGACAAGTAGTATTTTCTTGTAAAACATGCTCCAATAATCTTTGTTTTAGCTTTGTTTACTTACAGTGTAGTACTGTACTTGAACGTTCTGTTTGGAACAACCCTTCAAAATGACTGAGGTGACTTTTCTCCCTTTGAAGTGCCCTATGAAGGCACCATTTATGCCATCTGGAGCACAGTGGAAGTTTTGAGGCATTGAAATGTCCCTGTACACTAAAACAACAACTCAAAGTGATTTTCCTGTGATCAGTGCTGTTAACACTCACTATTGTTACAGATCTAGGCGTTGCCACGCACAAAATCTATTTGCTTTTTATTTCTCGCACAGGCAGAAACTGAGCAGGCTCCGCTGCTGCTGCTGCTGTCAGGTTTAGCAGTCCTCCGCAGTCACTCCCACACGCCCCTGTGAAGTTTGGTGAGGTACTTTCAGGACAGCAGTGCTGGAGAACTTCTTCCAAAACTTCTTCCTCAGCCGTGTACTAACTGGGAATTCAACTTCAATCATCAAACTAGGTGCATGCTTGAACCATCTAATATTATATCCCTTTAATTACTCTCCTTCTGCTAAAAACTGTGTCTCTGATTGAGTCTGGCAGAGTTATCAGATACATAGTGCTCTTATTAATAATGAATCAGTAACAAGTAGCACAGACACGCTCAAAAACACTGGGATCTGCTTATGATGTTCGGCTGGGAGTCGCTCTCCCTCTCAAGTCGCAGTTGTCCAGGGAAGCCCTGAAGTCTTCTGCGCTCGCTGAGATCTTAAGCACATCGAGATTCATGCCTCTGTTCCATGTGTGCTGGGTGTTTCACCTTCATCTGGATTAATAGAGGGAATTAGTACTAACTGGGAATTCAACTTCAATCATCAAACTAGGTGCATGCTTGAACCATCTAATATTATATCCCTTTAATTACTCTCCTTCTGCTAAAAACTGTGTCTCTGATTGAGTCTGGCAGAGTTATCAGATACATAGTGCTCTTATTAATAATGAATCCGTAACAAGTAGCACAGACACGCTCAAAAACACTGGGATCTGCTTATGATGTTCAGCTGGGAGTCCGCTCTCCCTCTCAAGTCGCAGTTGTCCAGGGAAGCCCTGAAGTCTTCTGCGCTCGCTGAGATCTTAAGCACATCGAGATTCATGCCTCTGTTCCATGTGTGCTGGGTGTTTCACCTTCATCTGGATTAATAGAGGGAATTATTCACCAGCTGATATGGGCTGAGAAACAGGAGGTAAATTTACTGCAATAGAGGTTCCCACGCTCATGAAAAGCCTGGAAATGCCAGGGAATTTTCAAATTGGCATCATTGCACAGCTTGAAAATTTTATTGGCTAAATATTTCGCTTAGTGAGTGTGTTAGAGGAAGGCATGCTCAAAAGACTAATTTAAAGTGTCTTGTTTGAGACATTTGTGCAGTAGATTTAAATTTATTCAAAAACTGGTCTGGAGAATAGTCACTTTATACTAAAAGGCTAAATTAAAAGCTGATAATATCTGCCATAATGTTTTCCTCTTGTGTTGTTCTCAATCTGTGTGGCTTCCTATGGTGGAACAAGAAAGAAGATAAAAAAAATAAAAATTGGTCCCTACAATAAAAGTGTATAGAATCCAGTGTTGTTTGAACCCCAACTTTCTTCAAAATATCCTCTTTTGTGTTTTGCGGATGAAAAGAAGTCATACAGGTTTGCAACAATATGACAGGGAAGTAAATGATGACAGAAAGATGATGTAAATCCTCTAGTTAAGAAGAAACAAGATATAAAACTAAATTATATGTCAGGATGTCAATCAGCTCAATCTGTGTGGCTTCCTATGGTGGAACAAGAAAGAAGATTAAAAAAAAAAATTGGTCCCTACAATAAAAG